GCAAGAAAGATGATGTAACTATCTTAAAGTATTATGTGATGTTAATGATGTGATCTGCTGAGATATTGTAACAACAGCTCTAAACTCCACGCACACACATACATATATATATATATCCCTCCTTGATTATTAGTTCTAATTTTTTTATATGTACCTACTTTTTTCTTAATATTTTGACTTTATTTGTCTTTAAATATATTAACAGAACTCATTTTTACAGAAATAGCCCAAACTCTGGACCTGAAAAGGATACCAGTAATCAAAAGAATTCGGATGCTCGAAGCTCCACTTCCGTATCCTCTTCATCAAAGTCTGAGAAAAATGTAGACGGGGAACTGCAAGTGGATGGGAAGTGGACCACCAATAGTCAAGACAACTCTATATTTGCTGATAATTTAAGTAGGTCTTCAGAGTCCGGAAAGTCTGTCGACTTATGCTCTCAAAAGTCTCCAGAAACTCAGTCGGTTAAATCAACCTCCAAAGTAAAATCAAATGAGAAAAAGGAGAAGAAAAAGTCATCTTGGTATAATGTTAGTATCTTTTGAAATCTGCTTGAAATAAACCATCAGGGTTTCCACTTCACACGGAAAACCTGGAAAATACAGGGAATTTAAAAATAACAGAGAAAATGCAAGCGAATTTTGATTTATTTTTCTTTACAAACTGGGAAAATACAGAGAATTTTGTTTCTTATTTTTGTCTTTTAAAAAATGGTGACCACTCAAAACATATGGGATATTTAACCATGATATTTCAGCTTTACTAAACTATTTCATTTACTATAGCATTATTTAAGTATGTTTAGCTGTTTTTCCAGCAATTAAAACTAATAAATATAGTAAGCTCAATATAGCTCACACAAGAGCACAATAATTGTTATGTTCCCTCTTAATATATTGTGTATAATATGTACAGGGAAAACACGGTGAATTTTTTCCCCAGATTTGAGTGACAACCCTGAAAAGTCACTTCTTTTTTCCTCTGATAAATATCAGTCTAAAGATAATTAACATATGTATTTCCTTTAAAAACAATTTAAATGGTTATTTACGGAATGACATACAGTATCTGCTTTATGTAATGATGTTGGATCTGATAATATTATGCGTCCTTAATGTCTCTCAAGCAAAATTAGATGTTAATGATGCATTTAATCATATTTTTTAAAATCATTTTAATTAACTGTAAATATCTACCTCCAATGTTTTTTGCTCATTTATGTAGTAATATGTGTGTTAGACAATACAAGATTTTTTTTCCTTCCAATTTGATGATTATAGCAAAATAAATTGTAAACTGACCTTAATAATTAGATTTGTGTTGTTAAAATAAGTTTAATTTAAATCACAGGAAATCTTATATACTGCAAAAGACTTAAAAATTACAAACTTTCTACAGGTAATGTTTTAACTAAACTACTCCTACTAGTTAAATTTTTACCATTAATATTGCAAAAAAAAGAAGCCTTAATTAGTTAAATGCTAAATAATTATAAATGCCTACATAATGGGACAAAGATTATTAATGGTGTCTAATCAATTTGAGCAGATATTGTTTAGCAGACTTGATAAAAAAGTAAGTTAAAGTTAGTTCTGCTCCAAATGTAAGTTTTTCTATAGAGACTTTGGTTGTTTTATTATGCAGAGTGTGCAAAATAAAAAAGGGACCAACCTTAGTAATTTTTGATCTAATGATTAGATCTTCGCGTTCTAGGACTTCATCTAAATGGCTCAAGGGAGTGCCCTCAAATATCCTAATTAATGCATGCAAACGATATTTTAAGTTACGAAATAGGACTCAAAAACATACTTTCTCTAAATAAAAAATTTTTTTTGTTGTTGACAGATTTGGATATTTGACCCCCAAAATATGGTCCCTATAGTTTGGTTAGTGAAGCGATTCAAAGTTTGGACTGCTTAATGTTAATTTTACTTTTTGTTAGTTTGCCATAAATCTAGGACTTTTTGCCTACAGTTATAAAATTCGCTTATCCAAAGAAAATTCCATCCAAAAGATAAATTTTAATAATTTTATTATTTTATTAAAAAATGTTTGAAAAAATTTTGAGTTGTAAGGTATACAATTTTTTACATTTTAAAGTATGTCATTTTAAATGGCAAAATACAAAATTTCAGTGAAATCAATTAAGTAGTTCCTGAGAAATTAAATTTTAAATATCTGCCCTTTTTCAAAATTAAGTTTAACTATTCAACCGATTTTGCCCAAATTTTGTATTTTGTCATGTTAAATTATATTCTTTAAAATGATGCAAAAAAAACTGTACCTTACAATTCAAAATTTTTTCAACCATTCTTAAATAAAATAATAATAAAATAAAAAAAATATTTACTAAAATTTAATTTTTGCATGGAATTATCTTTGGATAAATGAATTTTATAATTGGGTGCTAATGTTTTTTAATTTGCTTAAAAAGTTCTGGAGATATAGCAAAATTAATATTAAGGGATCTAAACTTTGGAACACTCTCCTGACCAAACTATTGGGAACATATTTCCCAGACTGCAGCTACCCCCTATATTTTGGGAGTAAAAAATCGGAATCTGTCTAAAAAAATACATGTTTATTAAAGGAAATTATGTTTTTGTGTCTGATTGCGTAATTTAAAATATCGCCTGCACTTATTAATTACCATGTTTGAAATCACCTTTTCGAACCATTAAGATTGAGTCCCANATATCCGATCATTAGATCAAAAGGTAACCATTGTGGTAATTTTTTTTTTTGCACACTGTTCATTACTGATTTGAGCAGTTTCTTTTTTTGGAATATCAGTAATAAAACGAATTTGTGAGGATTTTTTTAAGACAGTAACAATAAGAGAAAAAACAATAAATCATACCTGTTATATAATGAAAAATTATTTGAGAAAGTAATTCTGTTAAAAAAAATTTACTCTAATAAAAAATACAAATTCTAATGCTTTAAGAGTTAAATTTTTTCATGAAATGAATTGTTTGTTTTTAATGTTTTAAATTTGAGTTTTTTGCTTTAAAATGTTCATCAAATATTTTCAGATATGAGTAATTGATTTAGTTTCTTTCAGTGTGAATAAAAGTATTCTTTTTTGTATTTTTACCCTTCTAAATTTTGTAATATTAGTGTAGTTTAATTTATCATGAAATTTAATTAAGAAAAGCATGTTGTTATAATTGTATTCACGCTTATATTTGTCTTTATGCATGCCAGAATTTCCAAATTATATTTATTCCATTTTTTGCAGATGTTAAACCCCACCTATAAATCTAGAAGTGATGATTTCAAGACCCTCTTTAAAGATCTACCCGACTCAGAGCGTTTGATTGTGGGTTAGTGCCATCATATTATTTTTTTGCCTTTATAAATAATCTTTCATATATAATATTAGATTTATGTAAAAATGTCTCTACTTGTAACTTTTCTCCAGGTTTTCAAAATTTGCAGAAAGCTTACTTTTTACAATAAATAACAGGAAAACCTGGAAAATACAGGGAATTTAAAAATAACTGGAAAAATGCTGGGAATTTTGAGCTTTTCTTTAGAAATTGGGAAAATACAGGGAATTTTGTTTCTTATTTTCGTCTTTTAAAAAATAATAACCACTCAAAGTGCTATGCATGGGATATTTAAAGATGATATTTCAGCTATATTAAACTAGTTTATTTGTTATAGCATTATTTGTCTTTAGTATGTTCAGCTGTTCCTTTTTTCTTCAAGTTTTTTTAGCAATTATAACTTGCATAGTTAGCCTAATACAGCTCATACAAGAGCACCCTGATTGTATTTTTCCTCTTAATATGTTATGTATAATATGTACAGCAGTGTTTTCATCGCACAGAAAAAATGGGTGAGAATTTCTCACCCTTTCTCAAAAACAGGGTGAGATTTCAAAAAGTTAAGTGAGATTTCTAAAAATTAAAAGAAAAACACNTTTTCTATATTTGAGTGGCAACCCTGTTAAATTTGTCTTGAATACTGACTATTATTATAAAAATAAGGCTGAATTTAACTTGTTTCTTTATAGCATATGTAAGGCAGATTAAAAATCTGTTCAAAAAATGATGAGGTTGTCAAAATTTTATCTAAATTTTTTACACTGTTATATATTTTTTGGAATAAATTATTTTGCAGCCTGTAATCATGTATTAAAGGTTTGAAAATTTAAGAAGAAAAAAAATTCAAAAATTTTTTTGTCTTTTGATTTTTATATTGTTCAAATTTTAATTTAATTAAGGAAAATTACTTGAAAATTTTTGAAAATAATCAATTTTATAACCTCAAATTGACAAGCTAATTTTATGAAAAAACTAAAACCGCTAGTAATTGAATGTAAAAAATGAGTTAATTATTTTTTTTAAAGACTTTTTTTTTTAAATTTTAAATCAGGTTTTTATTTATTTATTTTTTTCAATATTTTAAGACTTTAGTTAAAAATTATTTATATCCTATAAATATAAATATCTTTGGAATATCATTAAAAATGAATTGTAACAATACGCATGTAACTTAATTGTGTTAAAATTGTTATACAATGATGCATGTAAAATGTAAATGCATAAGAGTATATATATGTAGGTATTGCATAATCAAATTATTGAGAATGGAAATTTTTTATTATTGCAGTAACTGAAAGTTGTGTTGTCTTATGTAAGAAAATACTTATATTAACTGTAGATTGTCATAAATTTCAATGCAGGTCCATTTAACTTATCTAATTATCATATAGATTAATTTAACTTATCCAATTATAACATTATATAATTTAGCTTATCAATGGGCTATTCCATAGTTATGGATGTAGCATATGTTGACTTTGAATACGTATAACTTAATAAAAAATCCTCAAACACTTATAATATTTTTTTGCAGGGATTATTTTTCTGGTTCTCTGCTAACTAAAATAACTAAAACTTTCAAAATTTCATGAATTAGAAAATTTAAAAAAAAAAAAAAAACTAACTTTTATGGTTGTAACTCATACATAAGTTAAAATTGCCCGGTGGGTAATTAGTTTACATATTTCTAGAAATTGTATCTCCTGTCCGTAGCCCATGAAAGCGCTAATCATTTTACATGTCTGATGAAATAATTGCAGGTTCATATGTACGTATACTGAGCTGGGTTTGATGAGAATCTTGCACTTTCGTGTGCAACTCTGCAGCATTTTGCAAGATATTCTCAATTTCAGGCTCCATTTTCCTCCCTCTGATATGGAACCGAAAAATTTCTTTTAAAATCTCTATTTTATGGTGGCTAATATAATCAAGAAAAGAGTTCTTTATCAGAAACTAGTTATTTTATTATGATCATGAAAAGTATTTGTAAACTATTTTGCATTTTGTTAATGTATATAGTGCTTAAAAATATTCATTTAGTGCTTAAAAGGTGCTTAATTTTTGTTGAATAATTTGGCTATGCACCCTGTTTGAAGTCATAATTTTATAGTTTATTTAAAATTTTAGAATAAATAACTTAATTTTTTGTCTTTAATTTTACTAAAAATTAAACTATTTATTTCCTGTCATTTTGATGCTTTTCTGTTACCAGATTTGATTATTTAATCAACATCAAGGGTAGAAATCAATAAAATTTAGTCATTGGTTTGAAAGACCTGTTATTAAAAAGATATTTCTAAGTCTGTACACACTTTCACTAGTTTCTATACCTGTCTTTATTAGTTACTTAAGTTAATAAAGTGGATTTGTAAAAAAAATTATTATACAGATTATATGTAATGCCATAATTATGATGAAATATGTCATTATGTGACAAGAACCTTAACCAAAACATAGCAATTTTAATGAATGAACACCAATTTTAAATTAAATTTAGAACAGTTTCCAGAAATAATATTTCTCATAAATATCACTATTTTTACAAACAATATAATAAAAAACTATCTTGCATGAAGTCAAAATTTAATAGTTTATTTAAAATTTTAGAATATATAACTTCATAAGTAGACTTTAATTTTATCAACTATGAAACTATTTACCATATACCTGTCATAGTTATTTAAGTTAATAAAGTGAATTTGTATTAAAAATTATAATACAGATTATATGTAATGCCATAATTACGATGAAATATGCTATTTTGAGAAAGAACACTGACCAAAACATAAAATGAAAAAACAAAACAGCATGTCATCCGTTTTTTATAGTTTGTCTAAAATAAGAACTCCTCCAGACATTCTTCTGTACCTGTGGTAGTGACTATGGTAACGAGGTATGACTATTTCAAGTAGGGGTGCGGGGTCACTGTTTTGAAGGGTTTTCACTCAGGTCTTTGAGAGAAATCGTATCTCTTTCTTTGGTCTATTGTGTTAGTCCTTGAGTGAAACTACCCTCTCTAAAATGCGCCATTCTTGTTTCCATAGCACCAGATGACCTCATACTTTGTGGTGGGAGGAGCTCTTAGCTTAGTAAAACTATACATTGATTGCGGTTCGGGGGGACACCAGCTAATTATTTTATGGTGGTCAGAGTCACATTTTAGTGGTCTTAGACCTACGAACCACTGTTAAATTCGACAATTAACTTTAAGTTGAACTAACTAAACTTCAAATTTATGCTAATTACATTATACTACATTTTAAGAGTGTAAATTTCTGCTGTTCTTAATTTCAGACTATTCCTGTGCATTGCAGAAAGATATTCTTGTACAGGGAAGGCTGTACATTTCTCAAAATTATATTTGCTTTTATGCTAATATATTTCGATGGGAGACTTTTGTAAGTAATTTTAATATTACAATTATTTTGTTGGGCATGCCAGTAGTTTTTTAACTGTTTCACTAATTATTGTTTATGTGTGTTTTAGAAGAGATTCATGTTTAATACTTACTGAATGAAATGTACTTGTTTAACCGTTTCCCTGATTATCCCGAGTTAGCTCAGGTATTGCAAATATTTATTATCCCGAGTAAACTCGGACATAGCAGAATTCGTCAATACGTTTTGTTTTATCGCGTTTTTATTCGGCCGGAAAGCAAAATTTTTTCATATGTTACGCTTGTAATTGATCATTTTTTGTCCTTATTACGTGGGCAAATGTAGCAACGTCCATTAGATTTCAGAGCTTTCTTCTGAGAAGTAGGTTCACTTTTGTCTTTTACGTCGTTGCATGCATCCGGGCATCTCTTTTGGCAGTCTTTGGGTGATGAATTTTTCTTTTTTCCACAATGTTCAGTTATCTTTTCCAATAAAATTATCGTTGTTAGAAGCATCTTCTTGAGTGGAATCTTCTTTAAATTCTGATTGTGAGTCATGATCACTCATAATTTCGAGATCAGAATTACATTCCGCTTCCTCATCAGAAAAAATGTCTTCCTCACTCTAAACCTCACCCAAAAGCTTTCGCAGCCTCTCCAATTCCTTTTCGTACGGAGTCGCCATGTTGCAGCTAAGAAAAAACTCACAACACAAAAAGTAACAATGTTTAAATGTATATTTTCGACTAACGCGAATAGGCGCGTGGGGTCCAGTCACACCCCTAACTTGATAACACCTTTGTCAAAGAAAAAATAATGACCCTTTGGAATTCGTAATACCTGATATAGGGTGGTGGGTGCATAAAATTAGACTACTGAAAAGAAAGAAATTTCAACGTCAATAGAAGAAAAGAAATTGTATAAACAAAATCATCTGGGGTCCATATGGACCCCCGCGCGTCCTGCCGGGTTAACGAAGACTCCTGTATTTTATGACTATTTCCTTTTTACCAGTATATTCTCAAATTTCTCCGTATTTGTTGAAGAAATTTATTTAAAAAAAATTTTTTTTGGTGATAAAATATCCACTGATGGCAAAAATACTTCTCTTATTACTCAACAGATGGTGCTATTACCAGTACTGCAATATGTGGAGTGTTAATAGTTTAAATAATTATAAATAATGACTTAAAAAATCTTCTCTAGATTAAGATTTATATACATATTTTTTACTTCGCTAAATGTAAGTGTTTACATTATTTCCAATTTTGAATTTCTCTTTTTCAATTACATGATTATGCATGATGTATCAAAACTTTACTCATAGCCTAAAAAAGTGTAGCTACAAAATCTCCGTAATTTTATTTCTCCAATGTTGGCAGGTATGATTGTGTTCAAAAGCTTTCGCAGGCTGCCCATACGCAGTCGGTGGGCCGCAGATTGTGCACCCTTATGGAAAAAAAGCATCCAAATGTATTAAACTTTTCCAATACTTTTCAATTCATTCAAATGCTTACAAATGAGCTGCGATGGCTCAGGAGATAGAGCATTCGCCTTCCAATGAGTTGAATCGGGTTTGAATCCCAGTCGAAACGAATTCCGCATCCGGCTTGCACTGACCACAGTGCTGACGTGAAATATCCTCAGTGGTAGACGGATCATGGGTTAGAGTCCCCTTGCCGTCAGGCTAACCGTGGGAGGTTCTCGTGGTCTTC